GGAAAAATGGGGATTTTGGGACTCTGAGCTTCCTTTTCTTCCTCGAATCCCGCTGCAGCGGCTCCTCCCTTTTCACAGCACCTGGAAAAATTAATGAAAATTAATGAAAATTAATTAAAATTAATTACGAGCCCTAATTAGCGGGGGGTACCTTGAAGAGGGTGACGCCGGTGCTGTAGCAGAGGCTGAGGAGGAAGAGGACGATGAAGGTCGCGGCCGTCCACAGGTCGCCAGCGGCTTCCTCGCCCTCGGCCCCCGGCTCCGTCCCCACCGTCACCACCACGCCCTCTGCTTTGGGGAGAAAAAAGCCAAAAAAATTCCAAAAATTCATCAAAATTCACTTTTTTTTCCCCATTTTTTCCCATTTCCACCATTTTTTTTCACTATTTTTTCCCCATTTTTCTCCATTCCTCCCCAGTTTTGACCCAATTCTGGGAAAAATGTGATGTGAGTAAAAAGGGCTGCAAGGATTTGGGGCAAAAAAGGCAAAATAAATAAATTTTTTTCACCAAAAATATCAAATTTTTTCACCAAAAATCACATTTTTCCACATTTTTTCCTATTTTTCCTTTTTTTCCCCATTTTCTCCCTTTTTTCCCCATTTTCCTCCATTTTTGACCCAATTTTTTGGGAAAAATGTGATGTAAAGAAAAAGGGCTGTGAGGATTTGGGGCAAAAAAGGCAAAAAAATCTTTTTTTTTTTCACCAAAATTCACATTTTTCCACATTTTCCCCATTTTTTCCATTTTCCCCCATTTTTCCCATTTTTTCACGTTTTTACCCATTTTTCCCCATTTTTTGCCAATTTTTACCCAATTCTTGTCCAAAAAATCAATACAAAGAGAAAGAGGAATGAGGATTTGGGGAGAAAAAGCAAAAAATTCAATTTTTTTTCACCAAAAATCACGTTTTCCCACATTTTTCCCCGTTTTTTCCTATTTTCCCTTTTTCCCCCATTTTTCTCCCTTTTTCCCCATTTCTCCCCATTTTTCACCCAATTTTTGTGCACAAGTGTGATGTGAAGGAAAAGGGCTGCAAGGCTTTGGGGCAAAAAAGTCAAAAAAATCAATTTTTTTCCACAAAAAAATCACATTTTTCCACATTTTTTCCTGTTTTTCTTTTTTTTTCCCCATTTTCTCCTTTTTTTTCCTATTTTTCTCCATTTTCCCCCATTTTTGACCCAATTCTGGGAAAAAATGTGATGTGAAGGAAAAGGGCTGCGAGGATTTGGGGCAAAAAAGGCAAAAAAATCAAATTTTTTCACCAAAAATATCAATTTTTTTCACCAAAAATCACATTTTTCCACATTTTTTCCTATTTTTCCTTTTTTTCCCCATTTTCTCCCTTTTTTCACCATTTTCCTCAATTTTTCCCCATTTTTGACCCAATTCTGGGAAAAATGTGATGTGAAGAAAAAGGGCTGCAAGGATTTGGGGCAAAAAAAGGCAAAAAAATCAAATTTGTTCACAAAAAATCACATTTTCCCCCATTTTTTCCTATTTTTCCCCATTTTTCCCCATTTTCCCCCATTTTTCCCCATTTTCCCCCATTTTTCCCCATTTTCCCCCATTTTTCCCCAGTTTTGACCCAATTCTGGGAAAAATGTGATGTGAGTAAAAAGGGCTGCAAGGATTTGGGGCAAAAAAGGCAAAATAAATAAATTTTTTTCACCAAAAATATCAAATTTTTTCACCAAAAATCACATTTTTCCACATTTTTTCCTATTTTTCCTTTTTTTCCCCATTTTCTCCCTTTTTTCCCCATTTTCCTCCATTTTTGACCCAATTTTTTGGGAAAAATGTGATGTAAAGAAAAAGGGCTGTGAGGATTTGGGGCAAAAAAGGCAAAAAAATCTTTTTTTTTTTCACCAAAATTCACATTTTTCCACATTTTCCCCATTTTTTCCATTTTCCCCCATTTTTCCCATTTTTTCACGTTTTTACCCATTTTTCCCCATTTTTTGCCAATTTTTACCCAATTCTTGTCCAAAAAATCAATACAAAGAGAAAGAGGAATGAGGATTTGGGGAGAAAAAGCAAAAAATTCAATTTTTTTTCACCAAAAATCACGTTTTCCCACATTTTTCCCCGTTTTTTCCTATTTTCCCTTTTTCCCCCATTTTTCTCCCTTTTTCCCCATTTCTCCCCATTTTTCACCCAATTTTTGTGCACAAGTGTGATGTGAAGGAAAAGGGCTGCAAGGCTTTGGGGCAAAAAAGTCAAAAAAATCAATTTTTTTCCACAAAAAAATCACATTTTTCCACATTTTTTCCTGTTTTTCTTTTTTTTTTTCCCCATTTTCTCCTTTTTTTCCCTATTTTCCTCCATTTTTCCCCATTTTTGACCCAATTTTTTGGGAAAAATGTGATGTGAAGGAAAAGGGCTGCGAGG